CTCCTACTACAAAGACTTTTAAAGAATGAATTGCTTGTTAAGAGTTTGTATGTATGTGTTTGTGTGGTTAGACATTTCCTGTGTATAATGCAAACTTGATATTATGGGTTTGCTATTCCTCCTACCCCCAAATAAAATCTGCAGATTTATTGGCAACTTACTGTTTCACTTAATGTGTCATGGACATTTTCCTTTGTCCTTATGCTGCTTCATTCTAGGTCAGACAGGGCTCATTTTAATTCTCCATTATCATTAGCATCTATCATATTAGGAAGGTTTGATTATGTAATACCGTTTTCATTTTCATAAACATGAATTGTATTAATTTCTCAGGGCTGCCAAAACAAAGTAGCAAAAACTGTGTAGTTTAAAATAACAGAAGTTTATTGTCTCACAATTCTGGAGTCCAGAAGTTCAAAATGAAGGAGTTGGCAGAGTTGGTTCCTTTGAAGGGCCTCTAAGAAGAGTCTGTTCTCTGCCTTTCTCCTAGCTTCTGGTGGTTTGCTAGCAATCTTAGGCATTTAGATGTATCACTCCATCTTCTGCCTCTGTTGTGTCTGTTTCGATTTACATTGTTTTCTGTCTGTGCATGTCCGTCTCTGAGTCCAAATTTCCTCCTTTTTTTAGGACCCCTCTCCCTCCCTCAATCAATACATGGCTTTTACTGCATATTTTAAATATTGCAAATGAATCTAAGGAATCATTCAACATCTTGCTGTTTGTATAGCTGGACAACATATCTTTTTTTTTTTTTTTTTTTGGACAACTTATATCTTATTCATGAGCCTACTGAACTATTCCTTTTTCAGAAACAAGAGGAACTATCCCCAAATTTCCTGATATCCTTGTTTCGGCAGCTGAATTTGATACAAGTTCAATGTCATTTCCTTCAAAAATCCACTCAACTTTCTGGGTTTGATATATGTTAAGTGAAATATATCTGGGCTTGATATATGTTAAGTGAAATATATCTGGGCTTGATATATGTTATGTTGAACAAGCAACATATGATATATTATAAGTTGAACAAGCAATACCTGAGCCCTGTGGATGTATTTTTCGCCCAATTTCTGATTTCAACAAGCGAACAATGGCTTTGATGGGGAAGTGAGCATACACGGATATCATCTTGTAATGAAAGCTCCATGTAACACCCTTGAGTATGTTCTGTACATGACTGCAGATAGTGCAAATGGTGGCCCTTTCTTTTCTATTTCCCTGCCATTGGTTAACCGGAGCCTCTTTCTTTCCAAGGAGACTGAGTTCTACATTGATGTGGTTGAAGTCCCCCCGCAGGGTCCCTCTGGGGCCCTTCCCAATAACTGTATGTCCCTTCAGAGTGATATTGATATTGTCTGAGTTGTCCACAGTCTGATTGCTGAGAATGGTCTTCATTCTTGCAGTAGATGTGGCAAAGAGAGCTGAAGACCCTTTACATAGGGCCCAGCATGACCTTTTAACTTGATTACTGTTTCCAAATAATTGAGGTTCTGGGGGTTAGGACTTCAAATATCTTTACAAGTCATCCCATCACATCAATGGAGCAGTCAGGTCCATTTTTACAATCAGTATCAATTAATGTTCAGTAAATAGGGATCTGTACCAGACACTAGATATGCAAAGGTTTTTCAGTTTTTGTCCTTAAAGGCAGTCTATTTGGAAAGACCAGGCTTGTACATAACAAGGTGAACAGTGAGTGATGCAGACTTGATAGCTAAGTGTTAATGATGCTTACATGGAAGGCAGGATGACACTTGGAAGTCTGGGCCCATTGGAGAAGAGGGCTTTTGGGAGTGGTGGAGAGGGAGCTGGGTGGGATTTGAAAAGTATTTTATGGAAGATGAAGAAGGGGAAAGGGTTTTGGAGAGGAGGTGAGAATGTGAATGAAACAACTAGCAAATATATAAGAGTTTAGTTATTAAAATTGCTTATGTAGTTTAATGTCTCAGTAATGTTTATCCTCAGACTTTATAACGGACTGTGTGCTTCCTCAGGAAGAAAGGATGGGAAAGGGTTACTTGGGATATTTCTTATGCAAGGTGGAAAGATAGGGAGATTCTTGTAGGATGTGAGATTTTTCATGTTTAAAGATAATTATTAGAAGAAATTTTAACTTTAGGATTGCCAGCTCTCAAATGATTTTTGATTTGCAGTTATTAAACAACTTTCATCATTAGATTTGATAGCTCAGGAAATTTAAGAGAAGTAGATTGAAACAAAAACCTGGACATTTAGGAATTTTATTTTTCACATTTTGCTTATGAGTTTAGAGGAAAATCAAGAGAATAGGGAAGATTAAGAAGAGACATGCTAAAGAGAAGAATCAGTAAATCTATTCAGTACTGTGCTAGGTGAATTGGGTACAAGAGCAGTTTCTTTCTTTTTTAAAAACATGTTTTTATTGATTTTAGAGAAAGAGGGAGGGAGAAAGATTTGGTCTTATAACATCCGTTGACTGCCTTCTGCCCCTGTGCTCCAACCAGTGAGTGCATGGGACAATCCTCAAACAACTGAGCCATACTGGCCAGAGCACAAGAGCAGTTTCTTAAAGAAGATTTGGTCTTCCTGGGGAGATGAGACTTAAATTCATGGCATTCAAATATCAGAAAAGTGGGTATATGAGCTTTGCAAGGATTGTCTCTAGAAAGGGAAAGGTTGTCTGTTGAATCCTCAAACATAAGAATTGTAACTCTACTGTACCAATTAACAGATTGTAATACAACTTTTTGCTCTTACACAGGTGAGGTATTCACGCTTGCCATTTTCATTTTTGTGTAGTTTATTGTTACTAGATTTTACAGAAATTATTTTATTTGAAACAACACAGTAGTTATATGCTGTCACTTTATATATTTACACGAATATATGTCCATTTTATCTAAACAACTATCATTTATATTGAAGACTATAAAAGTGAACTTGAGGTTTGAATACTATAAGCCCCCCCCCTTTTTGTGGCATTTTTATTCATATTACACCTGCTAATGTTAGAAAACAAGCAATACATTGTTGTAATTAGTAATTTACCATCTCTATTTCCTAAGCCCAATACAGCTTTGTTCGCAATCATCTCATGTGTTGTTATTGGTAAATATGTTACATATAAATTATACTTATATATATTATAGGCTGAGTAATACCTTATATACACACATATAATGTTACACAGTTTCTTTTTAAATTGGTTAAGAGAGGAAAGAAGGGGAAAAAAGTATTGATAGTGTTCTTTTTAGGGAAATAATTATCATTACAGGTTCTCTTTTAGTTGTTGTTCAGATGGACTTGAATTACTGCCGAGATCACCTGCTTTCAGCCTGAATAACCTCCTTTAGTATTTCTTATAAGATGTGTCTGCTAGCAAAAAATTGTCAGGTGTTTCATTTTATTTTATTTTATTTATTTCACATTTAGTTTGAAAGCTTTCATGGATTTAGTATTCTTGGTTGACAGCTTTTTTTTTGACTACTTTGAATATGTTACCCCACTTCCTTTAACTGCGTTGTGTCTGCTAAGAAGTCAGTTATTGGTGGTCCCTTATAAGTGACTTATCCTTTCTTTCTTGTTGCTTCAAGGTTTTCTATTTGTTTTTGATGTTCAGCATTTTTATTATCATGTGTCTGTTTGTGGGTCTCTTTGTTCTCATCACATATATTAAATTCTAGCTTATGTTAAACCTATACCTTTTAGTTCGAAGTATTGTTTTTGTTTTACCATTTCAGTTATAGCATAATATATCAACTTTATATGTTAGAATGATTACATTAATTTAGATTTGTTATGTCTTAACTGAGAATATATTACTATAGTTAAATATTACAAACATTTTCATAGAAGACATTCATAAGAAAATTGGAAGCAAACTAAAATGAAATAACAGTACAAATTCCTTACATAAGTTGTACTAGTATATTGTGCCTGCAGATTAGTAGTTGTGCTGTACAGTTCACCCTTGAACAACACTGGTTTGAACTGTGCCGCTTCACTTACATGCACATTTTTTTCAATAACTACCTAGGCAGCCCTCCCTATTTCTAGGTTTCACATCTGTGAATTCTACCAACTGTGGATTAAAACCAGTATTCTAAGTCCATGGTTGGGAATCTGAGGATGTGGAGGCTGACTATATGCATTGTTCTGTGCCATCTATATATATAGAAGCCTAAGTGACCAGCCTACCGATTGACCCACTGACCGGTAGCTATGATGCGCACTGACCACCAGGGGGCAAATACTCAACGCAGGAGCTTCCCCCTGGTGGTCAGTGCACTCCCACAAGGGGAGCGCCACTCAGCCAGAAGCCGGACTCACGGCTCATGGGGAGTGTGCCTAAGCCGTCAGTTGGATATCCCCCGAGGGCTCCTGGACTGCAAGAGGGCACAGGGAGAGGGCACAGGCCGGGCTGAGGGACCTCCTCCCCCCTCCCTGAGTGCATGAATCTCGTGCACTGGGCCTCTAGTTTTGTATAAGGGACTTGACTATCCACGGATTTGGGTATCCAGGGTGGGTCCTGGAACCAATTTCCTGTGGACACAGAAGGACAACTGTAGTTATGTTTTTGGGGAGTCAAAAGTTATATGTGGGTTTATTCTACAAACAAAATTGTTCACTGCTAGCTCTTTTAAAAGTCAGTCAACATAAGGCTGTTCAGCTGCATAGAGTTTATAGGACGGTGTATTAGTTTCCTAAGGCTTATGAAACAAGTACTACAAACTAGGTGGCTTAGAACAAGGGAAATTTATTGTTGTACAGTTCTGGAGGCCAGAAGTCCAAATTCAAGGTGTTGGCAGGGCTATGCCCTCTCTGAACGTACTAAAGAGAGATCTATTCTAGGCTTCTCTCCCAGCTTCTGATAGCCTCAGGGATTCCTTGGCTTGTAGATGACCATCTTTCCTTGTATCTTTTCACATTGTCTCCCCTTTGTGTCTGTGTCTAAATTATCCCTTTTTATAAAGACACCACTCATTAGATTAGGGGTCACCTTAATATCCACATTTTAAATTCATAATTTCTGTGAAGACCCTACTTCTAAATAAGGTCACATTCTGAGCTACTGAGAGTTATGACTTCAGTATATCCTTTTTTTAGGGGGTGGGCACAGTTCAACCCATACCAGATGGTAGGTTAAGGAAATATTGTCATCGTAAGTCCTTTCAGAAACAAGGTAAGGACCTAAGGTACTGTACTTTTTAAAGGGGAGTAGCAATTGGTTAGTTTAGTTATCTTTTTTACTAGTTTGTATAACCTCACTTATAAGTCAGTATCAGACCTCCACAGTGATGGAATTTATACTTAATTTTGCATTAATCTAATAATGGCTGACATTTTCCAGTAGTGGATGTAGTTAACTAATTGCTTGATTTTTACCACCCCCTTTCCCATCTTTGTACCTGCTCAATCCCCTCCCTACCTTCTACCCTCCAGCCTTTCACAACTATGTAATTTTTTTTTTTTTTTACTTACATGGGTACTTAATAAGAAATTTAATTGTTTTACTGGTTATAAAAGGAATACATGTTTGAAATGGACAGAAATGTGTAAAAAAATACTAAAAGTCAACTATAATACATTAGTTACTAGTAATTGATAACATGTTTGTGTATGTTATCCTGGCCTTTAGAATATATGGCAAACATTTTTAAAACAAAATTTGGATCATTACTAGTAAATACCCTTTTAACTGTTCTGTGGGTGATTGAATTAGTTATTAATGCTAGTGCTCTCAACAGATTTTTTTCCCCCTCCTATCTCGTTCTATTCTGTAACCTCTTGAGGGCCAATTCATTTTCATTGTTTCTCATTTTCTCTATTGTGATAACAAAAGTTTGATGTTACAGATTTATAGAGTTTTGGAGTTAAAAGGGACCTTAGGACAACTAGCCCTTTAAAGTGGTAAGTACTGTAGGGGAACTAATCTAAGACCATGATATTTCACAGTGATGAGCAGATTCTAAATGAATTGGTTCAACATAGTAATTAAATTGAAGTTATGTAGGAGCCAGTTTATGTTAGTTGATTGGAGCTCATCATTCATTTTCCCATAAATTCAGTTTCTTAGCCAAATGGTTCAGCACTGATGGTTACTATAGTTCAGTAATATTATGGCAAATAGTTCATTCATAGGGCTACTGTCGCCATATGGAGAAGAGTGTGGCTCAGAATTTCATATCTTTTGCCACCTGTCATTCTTCAAGAAGGAAACTCACTGGGAAATACCTTATACTTTCTTTTTTTTTTTTTTTAAATATATTTTATTGATTTTTTACAGAGAGGAAGGGAGAGAGATAGAGAGTTAGAAACATTGATGAGAGAGAAACATCGATCAGATGCCTCCTGCACATCTCCCACTGGGGATGTGCCCGCAACCCAGGTACATGCCCTTGACTGGAATCGAACCCGGGACCCTTCAGTCCGCAGGCCGACGCTCCATCCACTGAGCCAAACTGGTCTCGGCTACCTTATACTTTCATAGTTATTTGAGGAGACCCCCATATTTGGGGAGGAAGGGGAAGGTAGGTGTAGTTAAGAGTGGGAACTCTGCATTTGACCAGAGACCTGTGTTTAGGTTTCCCCACTGCCATTTATTAGTTACAGCTGGGGGCAAATTACTTTAAATTCTTGAGTTAGTTCTGTCTATTATATGGGCCAAAAATAATGTGTAAAAATTAGGTAGTACTTACTGTCTGCCTGGCATTATTTTCAGCTCTTTACCCATACCAACTCACTCAGTTTCCACAACACTGTGACGTTGGAACTGTTATCTTTTATGGATAAGAAAACTGAGGCACATATAGCTGAAGGATTTTCCCCCCACATCGTATGGCAATGAAACTGTTAGAGTGGGGATCCAGGTCCCTGAAATTTGGATTCAGAGTCTTGATTTATAACTATCATACTCAGCTGCTTGTCTAGAAATACTGCTTTAAGGTTTGTTGATAGGAGTAAATAAGATAGTGCATATCAGGTATCCAGTTCAGTAAATGTTAGTTCCCTTCTTCAATTCTTTAGGTGTCTGCTGGGAACCCTGTATTTATTTTCATGGCTGACTGAACTCATAATCACAAGGTATGAATTCCCTATATCAGCAGAATGAGTTTCAGTAACATAGTACCTCTCTTGATTTGCCTACACATTCTCTTCTTACTACAGGTGAAAATCCCCAGTCAGAATTTAGGACAGTTTCAGGGTGAGTGGAAAGGGGAGGGAAAAAGGCTGGGAAAGGTCTGGCCAACACAGTAGTAGTGTCACTTTAAGACAAGGATAGTCAGGGACTGGAAACTTCTGATAAATGTACTTCTCCTCTCTAGGGATTAAGAGCCTTCTCTTTGTAGTCTTGAATTATACTTTTTTCTTCCTTGATTTAGCCTCCTGCACACCCCCTACTGGGGATTGAGCCCGCAACCCCGGGCATGTGCCCTTGATCAGAATCGAACCTGGGACCCTTCAGTCCACAGACTGACGCTCTACTCACTGAGCCAAACCGGCTAGGGCTCAAGTTAAAATCTTTTAAAGCAGTGATTCCCAAAGTGGGCGCTACCGCCCCCTGGTAGGTGCTGCAGCGATCCAGGGGGGCGGTGATGGCCACAGGTGCATTTGGGGGCGATGAGTAACTGCTATTAAAATTTAAAAAACATTAATTTCCAGGGGCTGAATAATATTTTTTCTGGAAAGGGGGCGGTAGGCCAAATAAGTTTGGGAACCACTGTTTTAAAGTGAGTTTATTATATTTAGATATTACTTTATTTACATATGAAGAATGAATAGCATTAATCAAGTTTTCAATCTTTTAAGGATTCAAATAGCTAATTTTGTTATCTATCAAATTAGGATAATATCTAAAAGGATTGTTTTGAAATTAAAATAGATCATGTATGTAAAGTACCTGGTATAGTATTTGGCCCATGATAGATACTTTTAAATGGTATCTATTATTGTTATTGAGCCTATTTGGCCTATAAGGACATAATAAGCATTAAAAATTATTTGATTAATAGTCCTTGTTGATGTAGATCTAAGATTTCATATTCTAAACTTTTGACTTTTTGTGTTTTCATAACTAGAGGCCCGGTGCACAAATTCGTGCACGGGTGGGGTCCTCCTGTCTGGGTCTGGGGTGTGGGTGAATCAGATTCGGAGCTGTCAGGGCCCCAGAAGCAAGGTCTGGGTCAGTGCGCGTCATAGCTACCAGCCGGTCATTGGTTGTTCCGGTTGTTCGGTCATAATGGTCGCTTAGGCTTTTATATATATAAATATTGATTTGCTTAACATTAAGTGAAAACCTCAATGAATTTTCAGACTAAATACACCTATGCAACCAGCTCCAATATTAAGATACAATATTATCAGCACTTCTGAAGCCACTATTATGTTCCCTCCAAGTCACTCCCACTATCTTTAATTTTAAGGGACAGTACGTGAAATTTTCTACTTTTTCTCTATTATGCCCCACACAAAACATAAAAGAACTCAATTTTTGAGATTAGAATTGTATTAGATGAGAAACTTTAAATAGGTTTTGTAAAAAGCTTTTATATTGCATATTGTGATTTTTAATGTATCTACACTAGTAATATATTTGCAAGTGGAAAATAATTTGTATTACCTTATTACAGGGTAATCAGCAAGTAGTCTGTGAACAACAAAGGCAGAACCTCAATTTCCTTTTCTGTAGAAGTAAGCTGACTTTGTATCCCATATCCTTAGCATAGTACCTAGTACATAGAAGAAAATGCTTTTAAAATACAAGGTGGAGCAAAAGTAGGTTTACAGTTGTGAGTACTCAAAACAATATATTCTTGTATTATTATTGTGTTATTTTTCATATGAACAACTGTAGACCTACTTTTGTCCCACCCTGTAAATACATGAATCAGTATAGGCAAGTACTTATATGTATGACTTCACCTACATTTTTTTAAATCCTCACCCAAGGATATGATTTTATTGATTTTAGAGAGAAAAACATCAATTGGCTGCCTCCTGTATGTGCCCCGACTAGAGATCAAACCCGCAGCCTAGGTATGTGCCCTGACTGGGAATTGAACCCACAATTATATGGACGGATGCTCCAACCAATTGAACCACCCAGCCAGTGTGACTTTACCTACATTTATTTTTATCCGACCTATGTAAAATAATTAAAGTGGGACTTGCATATGTGAAATTGCTATAAGAGAGAGCTCTCTATTTCTAAAGGAATTTCAGGTATTACCAGTTTATATGAGTGACTATTTTTGAAATAATTTTATACAAGTATGTAGCATAAACTGTAGGAAACTTCTCATAGTTGTAGGAATGTAATATTATAGGAACTAAAAACACTCCATTCAGAGGTAGGGTAAGGCAAACTCTATTAAGTGTGTTTGCACAGTAAGTATTGTGTTTTGATCTGTATGATGAACATCTTTGCCATAGAAATCATCAATCTGGGAAAAATTTAGCAAAATGTTAACTGTAATGATTAGAGATATGAATGCAATTGGAGCAAATGAAAAGAATAAGATAATCTTGCCTGGAAAGATAATGATTAATATGTAGAAGGTGAATGAATATAGGGCTGAATGATCATTTATCGTCTAAACTGGGGCTCTTTGGGAGTGAAAAGGTGTGCTGTTACTTATGTCATGATGACAACTGGCACACACCCTCTAGGCAGACTGGGACATTTGATCTCCTGTTACATGGATTCTCTGCCCTGTTCTACAGTTCCAGAGTTCATATTTCTTTAAACTCAACAGAAGTAATAATAGCACAATTAAAGGGGCAAACACTACACAAAACATGGTAAATGTGGAGCTTTTGAATTGAAAATAGAAGGGAAAGTTGTATTAATTTTCTGTGCCATGGAACAAATTGTCACAAATTTAGCAATTTAAGCCAACACACATTTATTACATAACTAGAGGCCCGGTGCACGAAATTCGTGCACAAGTAGGGTCCCTAGGCCTGGCCAGCGATCAGGGCCGATTGGGTCCTTCCGGCTGCCGGCAGGGGCCTTCCTTCATTCCGTGCCACCCCTTGGTGGTCAGCGCATGTCATAGTGAGCAATCAAACTCCTGGTCAATCTCCCGAGGGGACAATTTGCGTATTAGCCTTTTATTATATAGGATAGCTTCTGTGGGTAAGCTGTGCCAACTGCAAGGCTTCAACCCATGTGTTGACCAGAGCTCAGTTCTCATCTGGAGTCTTGACTGGCCATGGATCTGTTTCTAAACTCACTAAGGGTGTTTTGATTTGTTGTAAGATGGAGTGAGGGTTGGAAGCCACCCTCAGCTCCAAGGAACTAGTCATGTGGCCCTCTATGTAAGCCCTCACAGCATGGCAGCTTGCTTCCATGAGTAAGTGAGTCAGAGAACAATACGGAGTCTTCTATAATGTAACACAATCACAGAAGTGATGTCCCATCATCTTTGTCATAATCTGTTGGTTAGAAGCACATCACAGGTCCTGCCCATATTCCAGGGGAATGCTTGAATTTCTGTCCACCACAGTGATGCATTCGCAGTAGCTTGTCAGTGAAAAGTCCCAGTCTGACTGAGGTTTAAGTCTCACCTTGTGTGGTGTCTTTCTTGTGATTATTTTATTTGCAGGGATGTCTCTTTTGGAACTAATGCAATTACTATCCAGATCATTTATTTGGCAGTTAATCATATATTGTATTTTGTGTTAACCATGCCTAATCTTTTTTATTATAGAAAAACTTAAACATGTATTGAAATGGAAAGAATAGTATTATGTACTAGCTGCAGCAAAAAACCATCTGTGGACCAACTTGTGTCTTTTTTTGTTCCTACCTACTTGAAACCTTCCTGGATTATTTTGAGGACAATCCCATGTATTATTTTATTATTTAAATGTTGTGTGATTTGACTTTTTATGTGTTTGGTCTAGGTCCCCCTCTTTTATATTGTGTCTTCCCTGAGGATAGGACCATATATTGTGCATATTTGTCCTAGTAGTGCCTGGTGGGTAGTCAGTACATATTTGTGGGTAGTCAGTATGTATGCATACACTTAGAAATCAGAAAGTCTGTGCTCTCTAATTAGTTTGAATTAACTCTATAAACTAATCTAGGATAAGTTATTTATCTACTTTATTCTCTCTTTTGAAGAAAAATTTTATCTTATTAAACTATTCAAAGGGTTTGTATTAAGGTCTGTTTTGTTCTAGTTATTCATAAGAGTAGGTCTTAAGAGCCTTAAATTTTTTGGTGCTTCTCAAGCAAGTCATAGTTTTTTTGAAATGAAGACAGTAGGTGGAATAGAACATGGAAAACAGTTTGCTTTATTATAGTCACTTAACACTCTCACCCTCAGCAATAGGGCAGAAAATTAGAGTTCTGCATAAAGTATCTTCTTAGAGCAGGAATCATTTCGGAATCCTGCAGCAGTGGGAAACTTGACCACTCTTCCTTGTTGCTTTTTCACAATTGACCTGTGTTGGGGAAATGGCCCTTAACAGTGGTAGCTCAGGCCTCCAGTGGGAAGAGTGGGTGGGAAAAGGGTCTGTTGCTGTCTGAATTCTAAGACAAAATGAGATGGCATATTCTTACGCAGCTTGGGAAGTGAAGAAAGCATGTTTTCCTTTGTCATTCCCCCACCCCTTCTCATACTTGCTTCTGGCAGTAAATGTTTATATATGGTTATATGCCTGTATATAAAATAGCAGATGTCTAATAATATATATGTCATATTTAAGAGTTTGAATTATAAATTTTTAGGGATTCACACGCTATGGTAAAGTGTTACTTGTATTTAACTTACAAATTTTGATATACATAGAGATTTGAGATTAAAAATTATAAATGTTTTCATTAATTTTATGATAATACTAGAGACCTGGTGCATGAATTCATGCACCAGTGGGGACCCTCGGCCTGGCCTGTGGGATTGGGCAGAAACCGGCTCTCTGACATCCCCTGAGGGGGTTCTGGATTGTGACAGGGCGCAGGCCAGGCTGAGTGACACCCCTCCCGTCCCCCCACTGTACGATCAGGGGCGGGGAGAGACACAGGAGGTTGGCCAACTGGGGAGGGACCATGGGAGGGCTCCAGGGTGTGTCCAGCCCATCTCGCTCAGTCCCAATCGGCCGGACCCCAGCAGCAAGCTAACCTACCGGTCGGAGCATCTGCCTCCTGATGGTCAGTGCACGTCATAGCGGCTGTTTGACCGGTCCACTGTCTGCCCCCTGGTGGTCAGTGCACGTCATAGCAAGCGGTTGAGTGGCCTTAGCATATCATTAGCATATTACGCTTTGATTGGTTGAATGGTCAACCAGACACTTAGCATATTAGACTTTTATTATATAATATTTTATTTGTATGATTTATTCATATAATTATTCATGAATATCTTTCACATCAGTGTTTTGTTCATCTCTAGTTATTTTTTGT